CGTTCTCTTCTCTTCCCGCTGTCCTACCTTTCGTGTCTCCCTCCTCTGAAGTTTTGTTTGGTTCCGCAGCTTGCCTGTCAACAACTCACAGGTTCGTGCACGGCCAAGCCCTGAGGAGGAAGGCAGGACGTGCGCCAGCTCCATGCAAGACTGAAGAGCATGTGGATAAATTTGATAATATGTTGAATCAGACGGAATCCGAGAGATGTGCATTTGATTAGTGTGTGTAGTGCATGATATATCTTATGTACAGCCACCTTCAGGGTGGTCTTCCTGATCTTTGGCCATCAACAGCATCGAGAATTTGTCAGATACTGACTGGTACCACTAAACCAGCTAAACATGAGATGACTCATCCACAGTGACTCATCCCATGTGAACTTGGGGGGTTTTCCAAGGGTGGTTTGTGGATCGGGTTCGTGCCCGGGACCAGGCTTTCCAAAGAAGACCCAAAAGTTGAGTGGGTCAATTGGTATTTGGAAGGTATATTTTGAAGGTGTTCTTGGTGGTGAATACTGCATGAAGCGTTGTGAAACATGCGCCAGAGCAGAATCTTCTCCAGATCCCTTACTGCCAGGGCCAGATCCTCCAGGCCGCACTTGGCTATGACGGCACTGGCGCAAAGACAGCCATCAGCGGATTTGCAGTCTGACAGGGCAAGAGGCGACGTTCTTGGTACATGCGCCCTGTACTTACCTGCGATTCATCAATCCAAATTGCGGAGGAGACCAACTAATGTGGACTTGTGCGCAGGATGTTTCTGTTGTTGAGAATTCCTGGAACCCTCCATGGTGGAGTGCTTCACATCATGCCCAAAGCTGGCATGCTTGCCTCCCAAGGCTGTACATAGACTGATATAGAGATAGCCCCCTGGCTCTGCCAGCGCCGTCATCTTGGTACGAAGTGGAAGTGCCAGTGGGTACGGCGCAGAAGCCCGAACCTTGGGCCACGCCGCCCGAGGGGTGACGAAGAACAGCAGCATTCTGCGGATCCGGCGGTTGGAGCTTCGCAGGCGGTGCCGAACTCGCAAAAAGACCGGCAATTCGGCTATGTTCGCTGCTTGGGGCTACGGTCAGAAGGCTCCGAGGTACCAGTGGCCTAGGAAGGCCTCACCCTTCCTGTGTGTGTGTGTCATAGCTTGTTTTGACTTGCTGGCAAGCACGAAAGCAAGTCTTTGGACCCCAAGTTATATGTGACGGCCGCTTAAGGATCCTTCTCTTCCAGGATCCTTCTCTATATCCGTGCTTGACGACTTTGTGCCAGATTTTCTTGGGGGAGGCCTTCATATACAGACCCTCTATGGGCCTTTGGGGAACCTTCTGATGCAAACCGCGTCGAGGGCCGCGTGTGCGCGGACGAAGAAGTGCTGCGTCGGGCGCTGCCCAGCCTCGCGAGCCCGGGCACTCGGGGAAAGGGAACGGCTTTCGGAAGGAACGGGGGGGGCATGTGTTGACATGAACCGAAATACAGGGTATTGCAAAACAAATGACTCCAAATTACCTGGTTTCAATTCGATGTCCCTAATTTTGACATGCCAAGATTTTGCCAGTGCTGTGGAGATGACTCAAGTGGGATTCTTTCGTGGGGCTGAAGCATCCTGTCGTGATTGGAGAGGAGCACATGGAGGGGCAACCCCATGGTTCATCTAACCAGGAGGTGCTGAGCGCGTAGAATTTGGTGACAGGAGAGGCAGGATAGCACCCTTTTGACCTGGGTCATGCACATGAACCACGCCCAAAATGATACCATTAAGGTTTTATATATAACATGCATCATTTTTGGTGAGATCTTGCAGAATCTTGCACATTCCTTGGAAAACAACGCCGGACAAAAAAACAAAAACAATCACCGCGATTCCTCTTGGAGTGCATGAAATGATATGAACTGTGGTGTCTCAAAACCAAGCCCCAAACGATGCCAAAATCGTGTCGTTTGTAGACCCACTGCCCCAAATGCCCTGTAACTGTAAGATGTTCCTTTGCTGTACTGGTAGTGTTTTTAAGAAGTTCCTTTGCTGTACCTCACATTGTAAAGGTCTAGTGGCACTAGTGGTATGACAAACAATGGGGTGAATTGACATGTATCCTCCCAAGAACTGATGAGCAGAGGGGACTTCAATCTCTGTCGGTTGGGAAGTCGACCGGCGAAGCATGTAGAGTTCTACAAGATACAGTACATGAGCGCGTCGTCAAGTCGCAGGGAAGTCACCAACTGCCCAAGATGTACTGTAGATCATTTACATGCCCCCCTTGTGGTCCGATCCGATCGCACTTTTCAGGTGGAGGGCACCACAAAGAGGTGCGACTGGAGCCGCAGCCAGATCAGGAACGGCATTTGCTGTGCAGGTGATAGTTTTTTGGCTGTTTGGCTTGGTGTTTGGTGCTCAATGGCCGGTATCTTGCAAAAGTTGGTGCAGATCAATTTGGACATGCTTCAACCAAACTGGAAGATGATCGAAGTCCGTTTTATAAAAGCAATTCCTAGGTCCTAGGCATACTTGCAACAAGAATGGAGTGCTTCACTTCTGGGTTGCTTCACTTCCACTAGCTGTCACTAGAGCTCCCTGTGCTTCGGCCCGGGCTTCTGCTCACGGGCAGCTTAACACGTTGAGCTGCAGGAGCTGAATGTGTTGCACCTTTTGCCCGAGAAGCCCACGCGCCTCTTGGCCAAGACGTCTGAGTCGCCTCTTGGCCAAGCGACTTAGACGTGGCATTCACTTGCCTAATAGGCATGAGCCCACATAGACTTCAGAGTGCGCACGATAAGGGTCCTAGCATTCAAGAAGAAGTCTAGAAATGTCTAGAGTTTATAGAGTCTAAATCAAAAACTGAAATTGATGAGCACAAACTTTTTGGTCAAGGATCTCTCCCTGGTGGAGTTTCAATTGTCGAACTTCTATCCACCTGTCTCCCGAACTGAGTCCTCTCCTCTTCCACCCCGGGCAGCGCGAGCTTTCTGGGGCAACTCACCGGCCGTCGTTGTCCAATCCGACCGTTGATGCCTCGGCTCTAATGACCTAAGGCTCTCCAACATGGAATGGGTTCGATGGTTGCGATTTGGTCCTAGAAGGACGTGTCCTAGAAGATCATGTCACTATGTCCTGAAGATTGAAGCATCCTATGGTAGGTACAGGTAAAGAGCTAATCACGAAGCAATGGAAGATGGATCCTCTCTTTAGACTGAACATTTTTTACTCAACGGAGTCATGTTCCATCCGCAAGGAGTGCACCAAGTGTACCTGTGCCTTTGATTTGTTGCATCCTGTAGATGCAGAACATGTAGTAACAGTGACAAGACAGTTACATTTCCAGAACCTTCAAAGCACCCTTTTGAGATCCCAGAATGGGGTCATTGAGTCCCTAAAGAGGTCACTTAGAGACTCCATTTGGAGGTCACGTACTGAAGGTTCTGGTTCTTCATCTATTTGGTGCAGCGTCCTTCACCCACCAGTTCCACCCACCAATGTTCCCCCCAAAATGCCCACCACTCGCTGGGTGGAAGAACCGATGCTTCGATGTACCGGTTCGACCCTGGACGAACCGACGGACGGACTACTCGCTCAGGTCGCCTGGGTCATCGGGATGACTCCTTCCAAACGATTCCGAATCAATCAGAAGGTGCACCGAGTTTGGAAGCACGTGGCGCCAACAAACATCACGTCCCTGTTGGGAGCCACGTGATGTTTGTTTGTTTTTCTTTCCTCCTCTATAGGTGGGGACAAGAGGAGTTTTGTGGGGGGAGACTGTGTGGAGGTGTCAACCTCATGGACAGCACCTGGATCAGTAAGTCATCAGTCATGAAGATTGATGAAGTATGGTCGGGCTCAGCTTTCTTCTTCATTTGCAGACAAGAGATGAGACATGTTCTTCATGTCCTTACCGGTCCACCATCATTTGCTCCAGTCAGGCTCCCTAAACCCTCAATCCTCCCATCCAACACCATCTTCTTGCCAACTTGTCCCATTTCTTCCAAAGCATCGCAGAACGGTGGCCCCGGTCGTCAGACCACCGGTGCCCCGGTCCGTTCGCCAGGCAACTTGCTCGCGCTCGCCGAGTCGGACTCGGACGTGGGCGGCACCAGTCCGCGGCGCCAGTCGCGGGGTTCGGGTTTGCGCGGACGGAGGGGTGAAAGACCGGGCGGCCCGGCTCGACGTTTTCAGGTCATGTGGAGGTATGTATGTACCACCCTCCAAGAGGTGTCTATAGGTGTCTGTAAATAGCCTCTTATATGGTTAAGAGGTGTCCAAAAACCACCTGTTGGAAGGCCATTATGGCAATGTGACATTCCGTATATGCATGGAGTGGTTGGTGATGGTCCCCATTCACCACCTCGACTGTGGGGCAATTTCTTTGACCTTAGCCCGTGTACTGCCTTATATGGTACACCAAAACCAAAGCATCCCCAGGATACTCAACCCCATGCTTCTGTGAGTTTCATCGTGGATGATCGTGGCTGCACCCGGCGCCGAGGCAAATCCAAGGCGTGGAAAGCCGGGCATGACAAGCAAAGAGGAAGGAGAGGAATCGTTCCCATTCCCAGCGTTTAGAGGACCATGGGCGGATGAGACGAGGCTCCACTTTGGCTCCAGGGTTTACTGCACATGTTCTACATTCATGGATTTTTTCGCCTCCAAGGGGATGAGTTCATGGAATCTTTGCAAGGCAAGAAGGAACAACAGGTGTTCAAGTTCCAGCAAACGGGTTTTGTGGAAGGGGAGCATGTTCTTTGTGAAATGGGTCAATTATGGTCAATTGTTGACGCTCCTCCATCATTTGTGTTGCAAGATGAGGATCCATGAGAATCATGAGATAGACACGACATGAGGTGAATTGCACAGTTCCAATTGCCTTCATAAATCAGAACCATGGGCCATGTTTGATGTGCGTTGTTGTTGCCCGCTCGCGTTACGGAGCGCCACCTGCCGGCGCCACCTCTCGCCTATCTCGCGCGCCAGCCGCCGATCTCGCCGAGCAAAGTGATGGACCGCTCGAGCCCCATCAGCCCTTCTTCGGAGCGCGGAACGCCCAGAAATGTGTGGAGGTGCTCAGCCTGCTTGTGCTAGGTGTCTTGTTGTGTCTTACGGTGTCAGCCGATGTGTGTTGTAATATTCTTGTGGTTAAATCCTGTTAAGTCGTTCTGGTGAATCGGTGCATGTGTGATTTTCTCCGGTTCGCTTGAAGCAAGTCCAAGTGCTTGGGCGTGTCAGCGAACTTGTGCAGCGGATCAGGTCTCAGGTCTCAGGCCTTCGTTTGGGAGGGCCCCCCCCACGTGATGCACGTGTGGCTGCATGCCTTTGGAGGTGGAGGTGGAGATAGGGAGGTTTCTTTGGGAGAAGAGTTGCATCCAAGCTTTCGTAAAGCGTTGAACTTGAAAGTGCTTCATGGCTACTGATGACTTCAAACCAGTACGGAATTGCAAGTGTCAAGGGCCAGTGGAACCTGTGGAAGCACCCTGAGCCAAAGCGGTACATTGTGATTGCTTTTGATGCCCACCTTTCGCGAGTGGTTTGTATGCTTGGTGGGACATGCAGACTCTCAGCCAATGGTCTAAGTGTGTGCGATAAGATTGTTCAAGACGGTTCAATCTGATCAGAGACTCAACATGTAATGCTTACAGTCTGCATGTCATGTCATGTTTTACATGTCATAAGATGGTTCAAGATAGTTATGGATTATCAGGTTTTTGCTTTACAGTCCACAACATGTCATGCTTTGCTCCCAGAACCCGCCTTGCTTCTTCTTTCGGCGCCGGCATCGACTCACCGAGGCTTGGGAGATTCGACCTGCGCCGCTTTCACCAACGCGCGGAGTCCCGCTTTCCGTCCGTGAAACGGGTGGCATGGTGGGAGGGGTGGCGTGTGGCAGTGGAACACTCGGGAGTGGCAAGGAGTGAAGCCAATTTTTGGAAATGAGGCATGGCGTGGCAACGGGTGGAGCGGCTGAACTCCGATGGACTTTGCTGGACTCAAGTGCCAAGAGTTCATGTGAGTTCGTTCCAGTTCGTTCCATGCTGACCAAGAATCCTCGCCCTGATAAGCAGATTGCATTGGCCGTGCGCTCTATTCTGGCTTTGCTTAGGGATGATCAATGATGACGCTGATTGTTATTGTATAAATACAATTAAATATTGCTAAAAACTATTATATAGTACGTGTTTCCCTGTCAGTAAGTAAATCCTCTTCTGGCAGAAGCTATTAATATTGTCCCCGGTTCCTTCATATCCAAGCTATACACGGGCACCCAACAAACACAGCGCCATTCAAACACGCCCGTTGCTGCCACGGCGCTGATCTTGCCGAGGTATTGGAGTTGTTCTCATCGGGCGAGCTGGTCCTGGGGTAAACAATGTGATCCAAGGCCTCTTCGACTACCTCCAGGCGCCAGGAACCCGCGAACAGCGCGGATGGATGCCGGTGGGCCGCAAACAGAAACGGGGGGCGTTGATGGAGTGATGGAGTGAGGGGTCAAATGTCGCGGCGGCTCTAAGTTCCTGACATATTCTGATGAGACTTCCAAATATGTTTTCTTTGTTTCTTTGTGCTGGCAGGTATATATGCAGTTGAGATGGTTTGAGGGGTCAATGGGTGTACAGGATTGTGGGGCTGGGAATGTGTTTCGCAAGACTGACCTTCTCAAGGCTCACGGGGCGATATGTTCGTCGAGGTTCCTTTCGCGTTTCTGGTCAACGTTTCGTGTCCGAACCGGCCAACGTCGTACGTGGTCAGGTTGGTGGTCCGACTCACTGGATCACAGTTGGGGCATGTTGGTGAGTAGTTGGCTAGATCGGCTAGATGTGGTTGTTTTGCCAAGCACAGTGGCCGTCAGGCTTATCGGGCCCACCGCTGTGACCTGGTGTTCGCTGTTGTTGATTAATCGGCAGAGTACGTCTCGGCAGTGCAACTACCTGCGATGGTCGGCAGTGCGGCAGTGGAACAATTTCTTGAACATAAAGATCTTAAAGCGAAGCACAAGTTGGTTGGGAAGTTTTCTCTCAAACCACTCAGTTGGTTTCGACCTCTTCACATTTTGCTTAGAGAATCCAACACCGTTGTTTTTCTCTCATCCTCTTGAATATCACGCACACGGAGCTTATGCCTACTCACCAGGGACCGAATTCCGCCGGATCTCCACAGGTTTGGGAAGGCAAGGTGGTGTGCATCGCCATGGGAGTTGCCGGCTTGATCCACAACTACTCCTTTGAGCTCACCGAGGAGGGCACATCTTTTGGAGGGATGACCGGCATGACGGCAGTGACTGCACCTCAACCTCTTCTTCTTTCTTTTCCATGTTCAGTTTCCGTGATCTGTGAGCAATCTTTTTTGGGGGGGTTCGTTTCAGGAAATCATGGAAATCTCACAGCCTCGATAGCTATGGATAGCTCACTTATCCCATACCATTTTGGGACTCTTGGATGGGGACGGTGACGGCACCGGATTTTCGGGCTGCATGCGCCGTCTCAGGAGCTTCTGGCACCTCACCGCAACCAAGGAGGTGAGACATGGACAGAACCTTTTCCTCGGTCCAGTCCAAGGTCTTTGTATTGTTCTGCTTAGTTGATATATGGAGAAACAACCTTGCTATATAGCTAGACCAAAAGGCTAGCTGGACCTGCAAGACGTATAAGTTAATAGTTCTTAGTTGATGTTGTCTTCTGTTCTTCGGGGGCTCCTTTGAGAATTGAGAACAAGGGCGGTAGACACGACAGGCCAAGTTGTTAGGTGTTGGGTTATGGGCGGGAGTGGTTGTTTTTGTGTGTGGGTCTTCATCACGTATAGTGAATGTCAGTAGATCCAGTGGATCCTGGATCAAGTATGTGCAGGGCAGAAGGTGCCTTTGTAGATGAGCTCACATGACCTGTTTAGAGTCAACCTTGTCCGACAAACAGTGCAGACAAGACATAGAATCGAATAGATGAGCACGTTCCCTTCCAGTGTCCAAAGGGTATGTCGTGGAAGATCTAAAATCAGGACTGTCTCAGCTCACTGCTCACTGCGCGCGAATCCCATTACGTATATATAATATTTTGCATTGAATGACAACCTGGTGAAACTCTTCCTCCAGTGAACTATGTTCTAGCACCTTGCTACTAGTAGCTTCTTGCTACTAGTAGTAATGCCCTTGCTACTAGTAGTAATGCCCTTGTGACTAGTAGCGATGCCCTTGTTACTAGTAGCAAGGCAAGAAGCTACTTGCCTAAAGACTCCAAATGTCTCCTGAGAGTAGTTGGAGCCTCCAGTGAGCCATCCGGTCAACCTTCAAAAGCGACCTGTGCGACGTGTGCGACCCGCGCGCGGACGTCGCGGGTTCCACGGTTCCAGAGGATTTCACCCCAAAGGGAACCCAGCGAAGCATGCGCCCGCCATGTGCCCGGAACTGTGCAGGGTGCGATTTGTTGGGGCAAAGCCAGCCAGAGGACAGAAATGGACAGAAGACCCTGCCGAAGTCTCGTGCAGCAAAACGGATCAATTGAAGTCAGTCTCCAGATGTCTCCAGTATTCAAATGGAATTTATGAAACAGAGCAACTCGTTCTGTCCACTTTACTAATTTTCTTTGGCAGACCTTCCTACACAGCAAGTGTGGAAAAAGCCTCATTATGACCAGAGCTGCAGTCAGAGGTCAAATCAACATAATGTTTGGAATCTACGCCTACATTGACCTCTTCTCAACCACCCAATTGTAGGTACAACATATATTTTATTAACATGTATCATGTATGCCAGTCTCATGTAGGTAACATACATATATATATATATATGTGAACATGTATGCCAGTCCCATGGTCATTCTTGGATAATACATGGCGGTCTGGCGGTCTGGTTTGAAATGTTTCGTTGCTTAAGCTCCAAGCTTGCCAGCGCAGGACATTCCAAAGCTGGGCAATGACATGCCGGGCACTTGGGCCATTTGTGAGTAGAGACTCGCTCCCTTATAGACTTGCTGAATTTGGTCCAAAGTGCTGGTTTGCCGAGCTTGCAATTTAAAGTGTAGAAGATTGTAGAAGCACGTAGAAGCATATACTCAGCGTCCCTATCCAGATCTTGCACCATTTGATAGGAGGGGAATGCCCCCGCAAAAAAAGAACCTTTGTTTGCCTTTGTTTTGCACCAAAAGATGAACCTCATAAACCCCGCATGTCCTAGATCCCAACGGAGCAACTGTTGTGGCGGTGTCCTTTGATCTATTAGCTGCAGCTGCCAAGTGACAACGCCAAGTTGATTCAATTTGATATTCTCAACATCCCAGCCATTCCCTGCCCAGTTCCATGTTCAGAACTGGGAGGTGGAACCCCGAAAGTTCTGCAGTAGGACGCTGGCACACATCAGGGTTCGAACATCATCGCCGCTGCGTGGTTGGCGTCCCGAAAAAGCACCACACCTCGTGTGAGGCGTTCCATCTCCCACACTGTGACCCGTTTGAAGTTGGATGGCTTGGTGGTTTGGGGAGGCGCTATCTCTTCGCAACCCGAGCGTCAAGTGTACCGCGGTGCCACGAAGATTTGTATGGCCTGAGCATCTGTGTTTTGGTCCAATGTGCCTGATAATTTGCCAGGTGTTTGATTTCAGGAGATGTCCATTCTTCATCTATAAAGCCACTAAAAACTGTGTGGTGTTGAGTGTACTTTCTTGCACTTGTTTGCCCAGTCGTCCTTCAACACCGTTCCCAGACCAGATATTATTTGTGAGCGTTTATGAGCCCTGTAGGTGCTATCGTTTGCCAGTGAAATTTGGCTTGTTTGCTCATTTCCTGCCTTTGACCTAAACAGAGCCGCTTAGTCTCAAGCTGCGCACCCTTTGGCACAGTACCATGTTTCAAAAACTCTGGCTTTTGGTCCTCACTGCCACGGCAGCGGGCGCAGCGGGCTTCGATCAGTGGGATGTCGTGCGAGCTGTTCTGAAGGCATACTTTCCCATCCCTGTTGCTTGGCGAAGGCTTTGAGTAAAGCTCCATGCTCGGCTGGGCCCAACAGTTGGGGAAAAGAAGATTGAGCGACCGTGAGTGACAGGTATACTGTAGTTCTTTTTGATCAATGCAAAGCACCAAAATACATAAAACATCATAAAACACATCAAAACATGTTTTCAAAAGAACAGTTGGACTGTATTGGAACAGGCTCCTCCCAGGGTGATTTTTGTCCTTTGAGCGACACAGCCTGGAGAAGTTGTTTCCCCTTTGGCCCCTGGAGCTTTCTGTGTGCATCCTGGAGTGACTGTTTGGGTTCGGGGGTTCCATTCCAATTTCAGTTTCCACCTGGTGTATGACTTGTATTCATATTCTAGTGACTAGTGGACCAGTGCCATGATGTGTGCTCCATGTTTCTCCAGTCGTGTGCTCCATGTTTCTCCAGTACAGTTTGTTGGGATGCTCCTTATGTGGAGGGGTGACCAACCGCTTAGGACATGACCTTCACTGCAGGGACGGCGAAAGGCCGCCAGTTTGTTTTCGAGCCCTGGGCTTTCACAGAGCTCGGTGTGAGGTCGGAGTCGGCACTTGGTCGGGTCATGCGTTCGCCGAAACGGGGCTTGTAGCTGGCAAGGCTGGTAACACCTGAAAGAGCCAAGCACCTCGACCTTGCAACCGAAAGAGGCCTGTTCTTCCACCGTCCTAATGTATACACTAGTGGACCAAAACAGTGCAAAGGGTATGATTACTTCCACCGTACCATTTGGCCTTGTTGGTGCGGTCGAATAGCTTCATTTCGTCCGTCCATTTCGTGGCACGTAGATCGGCGTCCTTTGTCCCCTCGGCTCCTATACACTTGACCCTCAAACCACTGCATGTTTGATTTCTAAACCTGTAAGCTATGATCCAGCTTGGCTTGGCACGATCCATGGCACTTGCTCCTTTGGGAGCAAATATGGGCAAAAGTAAGGAACTGTGTTGGGGGTTTTATTAGAATTCAATTAGTTTCAATGTTGCACGCGTTTGGGCAGGGTTCTCCTCTTTTGCATCAGCCGCAAGTGCTGAAGCTCCGTTTGCTTGATTTGCCGTCAAGTGCTGAGCATGCTGAGCAAAGCCACTTCAAGCCCCAAAAACTTGTGGAAACTATATAACTCACCACGGAAGAGCTGGTTCCCCACTGGTCGCACAGGAAGACCCCGTATGCTGAAGCCAACGCTTTGTCCTGGGCCGCCCTGGGTGGGTTGGGACCATTCTACTCAGTGAGTTGGTAAAGTTTGGAATCTAACCCAAATACTCCATGGGACTGCCATATTGGCGGATCAGTTGGGGTGGTTTGGGGGGTCAATAGGGCGGCATATATTCCATACATTGGAGTGTGTGGGTCTTATATATTTATTTTAAATTTGACCTTCCTGGAACTGGGCAGGAAAAGCATGTCTTTCTGTAAAGGGAACCTGACGACAGTTCACGGTGAGCCCCACCCGTCTCAGGAGAAGGGCCAGACCACGATGACGACGCCGCTGGCGATGGCTTCCTCCAGCAAGTTCCCTGTGGCCATCGCCATTGCTGGAGCGGCCCCTGGGTCATCCTATAGGTCCTGGGAGAATTGACTGAGTGGCTGAGGTGTCTTCAGAAGGAGAGCACCAGGCAAGGGGCACCAATATGGGTCCAATAGAAATTTAAACACATGCACTTCTTGGTTTGTTTACACAGTGGGGAGCGGGTGTGAGTGAGAGAGAGAGAGAGAAAAGATAGAAGAAAGAACTACCCGCAATCAAAGCGCCGGCCAACCCTGCATAGAATCTGCAGAAGTCAGCAGTTTCAGGAGCTGGCTTTTGTTTTTGGGTCCACAGGGTCAAAGTTCGGTTGCAAACAGTGGACATCTTGCCAATGGCTCATTGACAGGCTTCAGATGGCCCTCCTTAGGGGCAAGAGCAGAAATGACTTCCCCACGTGTTCTAGCAGTTTCTTGGGTCGATTTCTATGTGCTAACAGACCGACGAACTGCCTGCCCAGGTGAAAGATGGATATCTCACCTTCGACACCAAAGCACATGAAGCCACCCGGTCGGCAGATCTCACTGCGGTTCTTTGCTTTGCCCGGTCGGCGAGCGGACGCAACGTCCGTTTCCGCGGTTTCTTGAGGAAAGGTTTTCGTCCTGCGCTGTTGTTGTTCCATGCACTCATGCGCTTGGCGTCCTCTCATGTTGGAAACTTGATATTAATTAACAGCATTCGACTTGCCATAGCCGCAGCATGCCGCAGCCTACAGCCATGTTGGGGGGAAGTTCGTTCAGAAACACAGGCAGCAAACCATCAAGCCAATTGTTTCACAGGGCTTTCACAGCCCAGGCTGCTTGCATTGTGAGATCTCATTTGTGCTTATGCATGCATATATATGTATATTATATATATACTGCTACTTATAAACTTGTTCTTTGTAGGGCGGGGTCTCAGAACATGGCCCGTTTGTTTGAAGGGGGATTGCGTTTTGAACCGTTCGTTGTTTCTGACTGTTCGACGGCCGTGACCACTTTGGTTTGCAGAGTTCCCAAAAGCAGCTTCCAAGGGGTCACGATGACAATGAATAAGTAAAATCTGTCATTTGATTCAACTTCTCCCTGATGGACTTGTGTTTATTCAGCTATACTAAGAGACCGGACTATACATAAGTGGAAAAGAAGAAGAAGAAGAAGAAGACACACTCCGTAACCCTCCAGCAGCTGCCACAACCTGCACAGTGTTTCAGAAACTACCAGGTGACTCGAACCAACGCTCCCACAGCAGGTTGAATTTGCGGACTTGCAGACCTCTTCAAGACACTCTTCCAGCTCACCCCGCATCGGCACCGAGGTGTGGCCTTGGTGGAGCACCGACCCTTCGGAGCCTCGGAGCCGGGTGACGCTGCGACATTTGTTGCGCCTTGGCACCGATCGGAGCGGCGCCCGGTTTCCCCGGAGGTCGAGAGACGAGAGACGGGAGCGGAGGTCTCGAGTGTGGCGTCGACTGGGCCGAGACGTCGTAAGAAAGTGAGGTTGGCTGGATACTGAGATAGATCGACAACCTTTGTCACAAAGGGGTGGTGTTTAGTAAGTGTTTAAGTTTAATGGGCACCCCTAACCTCCATGGATAGCAGCACCTCGGCATGAAGCTGCTGGTAGCGGGGGCTTCATTCCACATGAGTTGCTGCATGCTGTATGTGTGTGTGTGTGTGTGTTCGTGCCATGCCAGCTCTTGCATTGTATAGAAACTATAGTGGCCCTTCATTTTGGCATAGTAGTTGCACAGTTGCCAGCTGGCATGGTGGCATTACGTGCGCCTTCGACGACGAAGTATGCCTTCGACAACGTTGATCCTCAGGTCTTCTCACAAGTACCCCAACTGAAGGGCCATTTGTCCATTTGATTTTATGGATCGCCCCTATGGCCACCCAGGTCCTTTACCAGTGGCTTCTACTGGCCAGATGCCAGTGGTTATGTACCCTGCTTGGGCGCTGCCAATGCCTCAAGCTACAGCGCAGAGGAATGTGCGAAGGATTCTTGTTCTCCACTGTCGGTGGGACAAAAAACAATGCTTTCATAGTCTACTGCCTATTCTTGCAACATTCTTGGTGGTGTTGTAGTGTTCAGGGCTCCTGTTCACCCGGCCGCCTGTTTGGGACCTATACCGGTGGGTGCATGGAAGGGATAGGTGTCACCAACTCGGATCCATAGAGTCGAAACTCCGTGCTCGCTCAGGAGATCTACCAGCAAGCACCTTTCGCAGCTTGGACTGAGCAAAAGAGCGACAGGGCTGCCTACAAGCATTGTATTTAACATTTCCCATTCACTTGGAGTGCCTATTAGATATTTTCCTGAATAGAGGAACAACAGGTTCGGTGTGCTGAGGTTTGCTGCTTGTAATTGTTGCCAATTGATACCTGTTCGATTTGCATTTTCATGCATTTTTTGCATGTCGCCGTGCCCCTGCACGAATGCCGTATGTAAAGCAGTCCCGTCCAAGCTGAAGGTTCTGGATTTATTTGGTTTGTTTTTTTCAGACCCCACAGCTATAGCACTGGTGGCGACCCAGCCAAAGGATCTCACCACAGTAAAGAAGTAGGGTGTGGCCCAGTACTAGGAACAGTCGGTAGAAGATTATCACTCTTTTTGAGAAAGTCCTTTACCAACCGCTACTAACCATCAGCATCCACTGAAGCCTGGTAATGGGACATATACCCAAGAAAGAAGTACCTTCCGCGGCAGCACCGGGTCCAGGAGTTTGAGCCCGGAAGCACCTGGTCCTACAACTCCTTCCATTTACAAGTGGCCGGTGCCATGGCAGCCACTCGAGCCAAGCTGTCGACTCAGCAGTTGCTTCAGAAATACCTCATCCATCCCCTGAGCCTTGCCGGTTGGGTTCGGATCGGAGCCGGTGGCATTCCGAAGAGGGCAAGAAGTCGGAGCTCCTTCTGTCAGGATCATGCAGTGACAGTTAACATGTTAACAACACCATCTACCATCTATTCTTAGCGATCTAAGTCGAAACGATACCTGAGACATGTTAAACATTGTGAAATCATAATCATGTTATAATACTATTTAACATGATTTAAGATGGTAATTATTCGGTAATTAACCTCTTTGTCTTCGTCTCCCCCTTGTGGATTTGTTCCGCCTGCATGATCGAACGGAAGCGCAAGAACTCCCGGAACGCCACCCGGGTTATCTTTGCAGTTTGGGTATTGGTTATAGGGGCTGATTCCGTGGCATGTGTTCCGAAACGTTTTTGTTGGCACTTGTTGCTCTTTAATTGCATTCACCAGGCCAAAGGAAACCAAAGGAAGCTTGGGTGGGAAGATCTTTTTGAATCCTATCTTCACATCTACTGCATTCACTGCAAAAGAAGCATGTTCACTCACTCTCTTTTTTGCTTTGAAATGCCTTGATAAGTGCAGTGCCTTAAAGATTATCCCTTTGTTTACCCCGCACCAGTTCTATGGAATCGGTTTCCTTTCCATCCAGTCAATTGGTTCTAAAAGGGGCTCCGACCACCCGCAGAACATCCAGTCAACAGGGGCCGATTCATTCCCGATTCCATTTCTTCCGAGCGAACTCTTCTGTATATGATACTTATAGTTTGTATAAAATGACGAAGGTCGTTCTATATCCAAGAGGCGGTCCCAAACAAAAAACCACACCCAGGAACTTGAAGAACACCTCGTGGATGGGTGGCGAGAACCCTGGCCTCGCGGGCAATATGATGACGACACCAGAGGACTATGACAGCATCCTGCGTCGCGGGGATCGGAAGAAGACGGGACTGGCTGCAGAAGACGGTTCACATGACTGGCAAGCGTGGAGTGTTGGGGAACCATCATGACTGGGCATTTGGTTTACTAAGGGAACAGGGTGTTGATTCAATTCAAGCACCTGGTGTCTCAAAGTACCTCGGAAGATGGGTACAAGTACCTGTTTTCATGGGGTCATGTCCCATTTTCTAAGGTACTTTGGAGGGTCCAGGTAGTTATATGTTGTTCGGTTCTTTTTGAGCATTACCAAGCTGAGGCGCCTACGTGGGGAACGAGCTTCTTCCACCATGGGTCTCCTTTGAAATGGAGCGAGACTACTTGGCACCAGACGTGCAGGTCTCGAACGCCAGCACCTTCTTAGCGGCTTGGATTGGTCAAAGCCATGGGCCATGGCCAGCAGGATTCCCCGCGGAGTGAGCTACGACAGAAAGGGGAAACATAGTGAGCCTACCGCAATGGTTTTCTCATGTGTTTTCGATCATCACCATGTAACGCTCGAATCTTGGGGCGACTTTCAAGGTGACACTCCTTGGGCACTACTCCTTCTGCAACTATTTCGAGTGCTTCCCCCCAAAGAGCGCCAAGTTCACGCCGGAATGCAAGAAGGTGGGTGGATCGCGAGACGCGATGGATCGGAAGGGGAGCCAGCCATCTCCTCAAGGTGAAAGGCAGCACAGGCTTATGCAAGGTTCTCGTGATATGTTGATTTGATGTACGTGGGTGCTTGCCCTCTTGTATTGTGAAACTGGACTTAATTGAGCACGTAGGTCAGCAGATGACTGTGCAAGAAATCTGGACTTTCAAGCTATAGTAGCAAGATTGGAGCTTGCTCAAAGATGCATTCCTGGGTGCTCATGCCCTGCCCGCTCTATCATTCGGGGGGTAGGTTGAGATATGATTGAGATATGAACGATTTGAGTTTAGACTCGTGAAACAGCTTAGAGTCTAGAGTCAACGGATATCCCTCGCCGTTTTTGCACATGCCTAAGGTTCAAGACCTTGTCGCAGATGAAAGACACAACGGACAAAGTGATCAATTCTCATCTCAGCTAATGTTTTTGGCAGATCCATTTAGTCCAAAAGTCAACATGGACGTTGTGCAGGCCAACATCCACATGGACGCTGGGCTTTTTGGGTACTATCCCTTGGTGGATCGGGCCAAGGGGATGTACATGCAGATCGCCACTGCTGCCTGGAGGGAAGTCTTTCCTGTGAAGCCATAGGGCTGTGCTGCTTGAACATGGAGGCGAAAAAGCCATCCAGACTTAAAAACTTAGCTCCGTTGTTCTATAGGTCCCTGACAGATGACTTAGGTCCGGTGTTTTTGGCACGAACACCCATTCGATCCCGCGGAATCGGCGTTTGGGATCACTGAGGCTCGGGTGCCTCACTCCCAAAAAGACTTCTATGCTCCCACCATCGTCGCCCGGCGAGGAGATGGGATGAAAAAGGAAAGACCTGGATCTCAGAGGAGTACCGTGAGGCTGAGTACCCCCCAAATATGGAATAGCAAATAGAGTCTACATTTTTTGGTATTGATGTGCTGTATATATATACACCTTAGAGGACACCCCCAGGCATATTATGAACAAGCTGCAGAGCATCTTTTGGATGATATCGTTTGGCAGTATCTTAGCTGGACTTGAACCATTTGAGATCCCTTTTTGGAGGATGGCAAGTTCCCACGCTCCATCACTTGCCCTTACTGAATGGTGGGGAAGGGACAGGTTGACAGGTTGGTCTCAAACCGCTCCGCTTCGTGAGGCCTCGATGGTCTTGCGCAAGATGACCAAGTTCCATGGCCTGCTAAGCTAGCTAATCCACCACACACTAGTTTGGGGCAGAGCAATGCATCACTTGCTTTAACTAAACATATATGTAAGTAAACTGAAAATGATCTCGCCAGACGGAGACTGTGGCAGTGAACTTGTGATGCCTCTTTTCAGCCAGTGCTGGACTCCGAGCCTTGCGGATGTATGAATTTCATCCACTGGACTCCACCACCGGATGTTACACAAGACTCATGTGCCCAAATCCATCAGATAAAAACACATCCATGTGCACATCCTGAATGAGCAAATAAATGGTGACCAGCAAAGTGTTCAATGCATCAAAAGGTTTCACCACCTTCCAGACCTGCTCCCCCCAAGAAAATCACGAAACACGATATACGAGAGGAACTGTCACTCGCGCTATTGGTATGGCTCGGTCACCGAGGTTCCTGGTGGATGGCGCCCTGGGTGTGGAATCGACTGAGACCGCCGAAGCTGCGGACGTGGCGTGGCGGATGTGAGAGTGTTTCACAGCGGGCGTTAACCCTCCGCCCTGTGTGGAGGGTTTGGGGCAGGTCTTTATAGTCTTTGGGTGGTCCAAATCACAATATTCTTTGGACACATTCTGCATTCATATGCTGCCATTTCCCATGCTACAAATATTGGTTTGGTTGAACTGCGTTCGGCGTCAGTCGGCGCCGAAATCCGTGCTCTTTCAGCCCAACGGTGTGTGTGGTGGCGCGTCGTGGTGCCACTCGGGCGCCTGAGGCATGGCAGGTGACCTCTGAGTTGCTGCAGCAGTTGGAGTTAAAGGCGAATGCTTTTGGGAGGGCTCATGGAGGTCTGGGGAGGGCCCTTTCGGGACAGTCTTGGGAGCATGGACTCTGGACCAGTTGGGACTATAGGTGCCCAAGGTGGAAGAAGATGAAGACACCTTGTGATTGAACAGGTCGATGGTTCCACCACAAGGTTGATGATTCCACCAAACCCACTTCGTTCAATTTTCTCCATCCTCGGCTCCATGGCAGGAGCATTGGCAAAGCCCAGAGGAACTCTGGGCCGTGCTCGCTGCGCCAGAGGAGGTTCTGGTGTAGCTCTTGTGGCTTCGTGGTCACGCCTGCGGGTTTTGGCCCGGGCCAATGTGGCCGGAAAGCACGCCGCACAGATGGCGCGGGAGATGGTGCACACAGAAAGTTGCCGAAGAACACCAAGGATCATGGGAGCTTTGTTCTTCAGCCTTTAAATGCGTAAGTCAAACTGTGCCATTGAAAAGTTGTTGCAAGGAAATTAAGCGGGAATTACTCCATGCGGCAGTTGGTTGTTTGAACCATCCCGAGGCCGCGCTGTTTAGAAACCGCCAGATGGCCCCTCCCTGAGTCAGCCGCGTGGGCTGCTCAGGCCGTGAGGGGCCATGGCAGGAGCACAAGTCTCCGATTTGAGGATCACAAGCGGTACAGGCAAAGAACCAAAAGTGCATCGGTCAGCAAGTGTGGGTTGGAGTTCTGGGGACCAAACCCCTGTATAGTTGAAGAGATGTAGGCGCTGTCGATATGGGATCGCAAGGGGAGCTGTTTTTGCAGGTGGCCTTTTTTGCTGTTACCATGCTCATGTCATGTGCAAGTACTTTAAGAAACATCAATATCCTGCGTACCTGGGCCAAACAAGACTCATAACTTATACTGGTTGAGCGATCCAACATCCAGTGAAAACTGGACGGTGACACCCTGATCCCACCTCCAACTCTGCCATGGTTCTCCTCGCTTGCTTGCTATGTTTACTCTACTTGTCGCCGTGAACCAGCTGCCTGTTGCCATTGGTATGGCCGAGTCTGGCTGTTCAGACCGCCCATCGACCCTGGACCGAACTCACTACGCCGGCCGTTCCACCTGCCAGGCCGTAATGTGCACAGCTGGACTGCTCGCTTGTCAGAATACTTTGTGGAGCACAAGGCGTCCAACGTGGCAACAACGGAGGATGAAGCTGCACATGGACGGTGGAAAGCATTTGTTGGAGAGATTATTCACCCAAACCAAACACATGAATTGGTTCCTTTTGATTTCAAGGTCCGTTTTTGAATTTGCTTTTTGGAGGACCTTCGGTTCATGTAAGTACTGCACCGGGCCACTGGCTTGGATGATGACAAATTTGGACTTGGCCCGGAACTACAGACATGCCTGGATGAAGTCCGGAGACGATTTGTTCTCCGACTGAAGCAAAGGAAAGTCCTTGACTCGGGTCACCTAAAGACATCTAATGTAGACTCTTGATTAATACCCCCCCCTTTGAAGAGGATGTTCAGTTCAATTGGGGGGTATATTAATCAAGAGCCTACAAAGACCATTCTTTTTAATAGTCTTTGACTCCCCTCGGGACATCTGTGACTCCCAGTGTAGTGATCGGTCCGATCGCCGGTTGCACGGAGTGATCGCCTCTCGACTCGTTAGTCGATCGGCGCAGTCCCAACCGATGCGAGAGTGGCGTGGCGCCCCGACCGACGGGCGAAGACCAGGTGAAGACCTGTGTGATCGCCATCCCTGCGAGCAGAGCACTCAGATGAAGAAACTGGAGTTGCTGGGACCTTGGACTGGGATAACAACGGCACTGGCTTAGAACTCATACCAAATCTACAGATCTTTACAGTGGCTGTTTGTGGCTGTCGGCTTTTTGTTGCGGCTGTCGTGTGCTGCGTTTCGGTTGTGGGTTGGTGTTGTTTTGATGGCGCTTTTCATCCTAGAGAATCCAAACAAAACAATGTGTCAATACGATAGATGATCATCCCCCAGCCCGATTGCAGGCTCAACCTTTGCGCAACCCCCCTTGAGAGGATAAAGCTCACAACCAGGGATGTCCGATGTGGTTACCTTCAGCCAGGTGTTCAATCGGATTTGCCACTCATGGAGCAGTCCGTTGCCTCAGTTTTTTGCAGCCGGGCTTTCTGTAATTCATGGCCAGTGAACGCAAAAGAAGAGCTCACAGATAGGCGACCCACGAAGAGATCGAGAAACTCTTTAATTTAGACAGCTGCTTGGTTCTGACGGATACCTATCCTTTGAGAATTGTTTTGGTAATCTAATTCGTCCGTTTCAGACCTTTGAACCAGCATAAACGCTTGGCTGCCCTTTGTGGCAACATATATATGGCACCGGTGCCTTGCACCGGTAGGCACACAGACCGGTCGCTCATCTCCTCGTCGCTCGGGACGTTGGGATCCTTGGACGAGGACCCTTGGCTATGATACAGCCTGCAAGCTCTACTCCTCCATCGTGGGCAATCTCTCCATTCAGGCCAGCCACGTGGGTTTACGATGGGACTGGGCCTGGGGATGGCGGCAAAGCTGGGCACCTGGCACGATTTGACTGGGAATGGGATGAGCCCCTAGTCTTCACATCCTAAAGGCATGAATTTATAAACGTGTGCAGTGTGTTTTATTATATATGTTTTGGTGCAGCCCTTGCCATGAGGTGTCAAAACGGATCTTGGTCTTGAAGACGTTCTTAGTGTTGTTTATATAATCGATGGCGAGTGTTACACTTTCCAACACCTGTTTAAAAGTGGTTCCTGGTTTCTTGTTTTTTATGTTCACGGTCTATCGATTGTTCATGTCGGAACTGTGTTGGCCTTGATCTCCTGTCCAACCCCCGTTCCCGGTTCTCATGTTGAAAAGCTAAAGTTTAGCGCTGTCTACATGCTTTGTCTCAGTGGGGGGCAGTTGCTACTTTTGCAAGCGACAAGGGGCTATGCACATGTGAACCCTGAGAATTGCTCACACCCCATGGCAAAGCCCAATGGCAATGTCTCCAGCCAAGGCGGCCTCTGCCGGGATGATTTGGTGCTTCGTCCGAATCCCTGGGCGTTCGATCTCACACATCGCAGCGGAGGCGGGGTGCCGACGGTTCGTGTCATCCGGGCCTTTGACGTTGGGGTGAAACAGGGCGAAACCGATACAGAGGGCGGAATGGACGGGGGAGTGGGTGGGCCGCACTTTGGTTCATGCCAAGCTAGCTGTTGCTCAGAAAGGAGCTAGGGAGCCGTGGGCATCCCAGTATCCATATTCCCCAATATAACCGGAAGCCGTTCGGAGGTACAGGGAGTTCCTCAGCCCCTTCCTAGCGACCCCTTGTTCACCTATAAGTTAAATGTCACCCTTGTTCTTATGATTTCTTATATACTGTATTGAAATCTACATATAGTCGATCAACGTCATGCTATGACAGGTTCACCTTCTCAAACTCTTTTTTTTCATGTTACCCAGCCATGACACAAATGATATGTCCAATACTCAAAGCCTTCCGCCGGATCCGACCCAACCAACTGGCCCGATGGTCACACCGCCACTGGCCTACCGCCGCACAGGTGGCCTTAATGACTCACCCCCACGTTGTGTTGATGCCGTCGCCCCAGCAAAAATCAGAACACCGGGGCGGAAGTTAGTGACGTTTGACGTTCATTGAAGTCTTGGTACCTGGTATTTTGCATATGGATCAGGACAACACAAACCGGGTGACTGGCATTTTGTACTGGTTGAATTGCTTTGCCCCAGTGACTGGTTGAAGTTCTAAGGGAGTATATAGTTGTTCCAACTTGGAACTGAGCCTTGCAGCTGGCTGTTCGACAGATTTGAGCTGATTCATTGGATGGGCTCCAGTGCTAGTAACAGAGTTGTTTTGTAAATCTTTGCCGCCTGGGTTACGAAGCATGTCGCGTGCTGCTCCACAGTTTGGGCACGTTCAGATGCAGGCCCTTTTCTTTTTGCTGCTCTTGGCAGGTCACGATTGTGTCCGCGTGGTCGACGAAGTGAAATGGTCACAGTCAAAATGGGACCAGCTACATGAAGATTGCCATTGGTCCAAAATGGAGCAGCGTTGCCATGGTGAGGGATGTGTGTGGAAACGCTTGCCCTTGGACTTGACAATCTCCTCCAGCTGCCGCCACACTGACGCATACCTGTTGAAGCACAACGGTCTGGAGAACTTTCACTCCATCATGGAGCTTTTGAAGGTTTGAAGGAAAAGAGTGACAAGTATGCTGAGTCCTGCCAAGGGGCACGTTGGTGGAACCCTGGGATTGGCTTGCAGCCACATTTAGCCTTTTTCCCAGAAGTGCCCCTAGAGTTGATTCCATAATTCCCTGCCAAAAATACATAGAATAGAAGCTGGCCGACAACAGCTGGCAAACAAGAATTATGTTCTAATTAGCTTCCTTTCAAGGCTTCCATGGCTGTTAAGAAAAGCGGTCATGATGCCGGGAGTAGCGTCGTCAGTAGCAATACATTCAATTCTTCGGTCGTGGGGCTGCACTTCTAGGGAAACCTTCACAGTTCAGGAACACATGCCCTCTCCAACCCTTGAGGTTGCTGCGTTGGATTTGCTAAGGTCCCCCTATTGTGAGACACTCTATCATACTCATTTCCCATGGTCGAATATGTGCAATCACCTCGAACATTGCCCCCCTTCAGTATAAATGGTCACACCGACATTCAGATGCAATTCAACATATATGTTTGTTTAACCCATCCCGGAAGAGTCCTCAGTCAGTGCCAGGAACCGAAAATGCAAGCGTGGTGAAGCACAAATCTTCGATGCTGTCAAGTTCTTGGCAAGGGCGCCAGTGGATAAGAACTTCATGTCCCAGTTGGAAAAAGATGAACAAGCAGCCGTGCGCGACTTTTTGCCCGTTGGTGGGAGGGGGAGGTTGAATTTATGTCAACCTTCAGTTGAGTTTAATGGGGTCGCTGGCAAACAATATGTGGGGAGAGATACCAAAGGAGGACATGTGTCATGTATGTTATACTGAGTATACTATACTGTATATGTTTTTTGGTGCGGCCACGGGCGCCTCACATGAGGCGACGCATTGGCACAGACTTTGAAAAGTCTAGCTTTTTCAGAGGAGGAGAGCCAGCTGATCGAGGAGCTTTTCAGGAAGATGAAAGGTCACGGGCCAGAGCTCTTGCAAGATCCACAAGGGACGTCGGCGAAGGTCATGGAGTTGCTTTTAAGACTCTTACAGGGCTCGCCTGAAGAGTAGCTCGGAAATATCTCAACAAAATGTTTCATATTGGACCGAGCTTGGCACCCGTGCCAACACAAGTTAA